CTTTCAAAGTAAATATCAAGACCGTTAATAATGTTGTTAGTTTTACCATCAGTTCAAGCCCGAAAGGGCAACAGAGTCGCGTGACAGACGCAGTGATGATGCAGTACACAAGCCGCGGTTAAGACAGCTGACGTGCTATGATTTCTGACAGACAGCTCACTCTCCTGTGATGTGACCCTGTTCCCCTCACACACACACAAAGCGTTACTCTGTGCTGCGCAAAACTCCGCACTTGAACAGTCAATAGCAAATACTTAAACTAATAACAAAACATACTTACAGTCACTGATTCAGAAGCGCCAGATTGTTATAGCAAAGTCGGAATGGACCCATTTTTTTTTTTAGAAATAGCCTTTGTGCACAGCCAGCCTCGTACTCTCCTAGGTTCACAAAACTGTCGTCCATAAAATGCGTTGCACAAATTCGAACATTTGGGTTGTGCTGTTCTGTTGTAAACAGATCTTAACAATGACTCCTAATTGCATCTACTTCCGGAAGGCCAAATAAAGTGCTGCACATTTGGCGGCATTACGCAAATATTTCCACATCGTGGCGTAGACATGTGGGGGCGTGTTTGAACGAGGCGTTTTAGCCCGGTCTGGATCAGCCTTCTCTTTTAGATAGAATAAATCCTTTTGAGCTTTGTAACTCTGCAGATCGTATACATGCACAAACAGCTACATAACACATTAAAGAAAAGGAAAAATAGAAATCGCATCATATGACCCCTTTAAGCACAAATAAAAGCATTAAAGTGCTATCATTCACACCAATAAGCAGAAAAAAAGAAACAGGCCAAGTCAAAAAAAGAGGAACCATCATAATGAAGGACAGCTGGTGGCTGGTTATCAGCATTTCCAACTAAAGCACGACTGGCATATGGTTAATAGCTCCACAAGCAACAGAACTGGAACGGTGACGGATGTGGTCTGCTAAATGACTCTAGAACACACAGGATTCCCTTTACATGGCCTCAAGATATTCCTTTGGACTTGCAAAACAAGAGCAGACAGCATAAGGCATTGCATTTATTTTCAATAAACAACTGCGTTCACTAGCAGAGTTGCTGTAATAACTCAAATTCTTCTTTCACCCAAGCAGCAAATAAAACTCTCGTTCAGTGCCAACATTCCAGCCTCAAAAGCGATTTAATAGGCCAGTGGACAGCAATGCAGAAAGCATTATTACATCCTGGCGAAAGTATTTATCATGTCCACTGCCTTTCAACAGCCATTCAGATGAGCTTTGCACCCTAATAACAACTGAATAAATAAATAAAAGCAAACCTATTCATATGCAAATCACCTCATGCCTAATTCATAACAATCATTAGCAAGACAACTGGCATGGCCATTACACTTAAAAAATAATTAAATAATAACAGTTCATGTTATCTTTTAAGATAATGATTAAGCTATTAAGGTGACAAAATACTTTATGTAATAAATCTAAAATTATTTTTTTCCAACTTTTAAATGAAAGATTATTGGAGTATGTTTTATAAGAAATTTTAAACATACTCATGTTTAATTCAATGTGTTACTTGCCATTTATTTGTTTGTGAAATTTACTAGCAATTCCTGAGAGAAAATTGTTTCTACACCAACATTAATAGCTAGAAAGACAAACTGGGAAAACAAACAAACCAAAAAATAAACAAAAAAGTTTGTCACATACAGGTATATACAGGATACAAATCCAGAAAAAAAAAGAAAAAGAAAAAACCTCTTGGGAGGTTATCGATATCACTGCCACTTTTTTTTGTTTGCCCAACATGTATCTTTCTAACTAGAGATTATATTTTATATCAGCTAAGGTGGTGAAAGCTACACTCAAATATTCAAATATAACCAACCCCTATGCCAAATCGAGAATATCCACTCATACTTTGCCTATTACTGAGGTTTAAAGTGTCCATGTCATGTTGAGTTTAAGCCACACAAACTTGTCCAGTGGCTAAAGAGGAGGGACCTGGATGAAAGTGGTGGACCATTTAAATCCGCCGAACTGTGTGAAATCCCAAAAGAAGGGCTGGTCAAGGTCAGGAGGGGTCAAATTCCTCAGGAAAACGCTAAAGAATGGAGAGGGAGGGGGATGAAAGGAACACAGACTCTTCTGCATGATTTTGAGGAATGCTGCGGCCTTCTCTGCCTCGAAGGACAAGGCCTGTGGTGCGTGTGAGCTTGTTCTCACATTCCCACCCGAGATTATATCACACCATCCGATGTACTACTAACAGTGCAGCTGGTTTTACTGTTCTATTACCCGTGGATTACACAATATTACACACTAAAACCATGGACAGACAAGGTCAAGACGCAATACAAAAGTTGCATCTGTTGGTGTTTAAGTATAGATAAAGATCTGCGGCAACACCTTTCCAAAGGTCTGTGAGAGAATGGAAGGTTTGGGCCCAAAAAATTTGCATTTTGACTTGTGTGAGGGTGTGTGTGTGGCTGGCTGACTGACCCAGCAAGCACACTGGGTGGCATTTGTCTTCTATTTCAGCTCCAAAAGACATCTGCAGCAAGCTATTCTTTTGAGTTATGAAAGAACTGGCCAACACAAAGCTGTGGCATCCCATTCACAGGTGTTCCAGTGGGTGATTCCATAATGAACAGATGGAAAATTAAACCTCATGGACTGAATCCAGTCTAATCAAATAAAGCTATAAAAAAAAATCCCTGAGGGCAAAAACTGTCACATGAAAGCCAATGCTACTCATGAGGTTACTTAAACAAATACGCGCAAGACTAGTTTGGTGTCAAAAGCCATTAAACTACTCTCTTAAATATATTTCGTACACACCTACATAAATATACACGCACACAAATTGAATATCACAAATCCACAACTCCACGACTAATTGTTCCTTGTCTAATCTTACACTTTTTTGCACTAATCTTACACTCAAAAAAAGGTTTAGTTGGGGTGCGCGCCCATTGGAAAATGCGACCAAAGACCGAGAAGACTTGTCTGCACGTTTGACAATTAAACTAAAGCTAAATGATTAATCTAAAGTGTTACGTTTGTTGAACATATAACTTAGAAGCCTTTGTTGTTTCAACAGGTCTGTTGTCAGGGAGCTAAAGCTTTAGCTAGCACAAGTGTAACACCTTTTTTCCCCGTCATTTGTAATTAAAGAAACCAATTTTACTCGACTATACCCTTAGTATCTTAACTGAATGTAATATAAAGTTAAAATTCACAAGACACTCACCGATTCAGCGAAAACAGCAGCAGCCGCAGACAAAACCAGCATGAGGTAAACTTTCAACATCTTCTCTTCAAAATAAAAAGCCCCGATGCCGAAAGTTGTTGTCAGTTTCCGATGTGAATCACTTCTATAAATCAAAATAAACCGGTCCTGGTTTTGTAACTCCTTTTTTATGTCGATTCAATGAGATTTATATCGCGTATTTCTTACTGCTATCCTCTGTGTTTGTACGCAATATTCCTGTGTAATGATTGATCCAGTTTGGTTTTATTTAGAGCCGTGACCAACCTAAAACCCGCCCTCTTCGTGTGCAGCCAATCAAGACACAGGCAGAAGCAGTGACGTGTTTTCGGAAACTCCGGACGCAACAGGTTTACAACACAATACATTAGAATCCATTATGACGACGAAGTACGTTGTAAACAGAAATTTTACGATGATTAGAATAAGTTTTTTTTTTTTTACTATATAAAACAATTGTTTTAAGATTAATCTCGTATAAATGCAAAATCCTCCGTTCTCTGACAATTACACGTGGTTAACGTACTTAATATCCGTCCTTAACTGACCAAAATGAAATTATGGAATCATGACTAGCATGTTTGAAGAAGTTTTAGGAAGAAGAATTAGAAAAGAGAGACGCTTGTGGAAAGTTCAATGACGTAAACTTCCGGGATTTTTTGAGAGTACTTTTTGATTGTTCTTCCCTTTTCCCTTAAGCATTCTGAAAAACGAAAACCACAATGATATTTAGATGCTATTGCTGATAAAAAGAGTTTTCTTTTCTGTTCTTTTTTTCTTCTCTACTGACAGAAGTTCTTAAACTAGACCAGATGGCTTGCTGGTCTTAGTTGGTTTAAGCTGGTTTTAGCCGGTCGATGGTCTCCCAGCCTGGTGGTCAGCATGCTGATCTCCAAAATCCTCCAGCAAACTGACTAGGCTGAGACCACTTAAGACCAGCAAACCATCTCACCATTTGACGAGTTTATTTTCTTTTTTCGTTTAATAAATGTCAGTTACATTCAGGTTTAGGTGGTGTTGCATCATAGAATTAACAGTTGTCATTTCCACTAAAAGGCGTCAGTTTGGTTCTCATCCAGTCACAGTAACTGGAAAATGATGGAATAACTCACTCTTACCACAGCATTTCTATTCTAGCATGACTTTGAACTTGAAACCACTTTTGCAAGTCCCAACATGACACTGTCAGTGAATAGAGCTTTACTCCCAAATCCACTTTATTACAGTAGGCTAGCCTAAATCATCTCCTGGCAATCACTGAAATCATCAATTCTTTGTAAAGTCATTAGAAATATACTCTATTGCAAAGATTAGAGTTAGGCATTTTTTTTAAATTAGGTTAATCATCTAAGCATGTCTGCAATGTGTCACTATTTATGATTCCCTATTTGTAAGAATAGTGGCTTAGAATGCAATGCAAATCATTCAGTACAAGTCACTTAATCAGTAAATCAAGACTGTCATGCTAAAGTCTTTCATGTATGTAAATGGTCATTGTATAGGACTTAAAGTTCAGAAATAATACTTGCTGTGTCAAAATCCTCTTAAATGCCTAATTTACCTGGCAAACAAACTTGATTCCGATTCAGATTGACTTGTTAGAAGTGGCTGGGTGAATGTAATGGTATTACAACTGACATAATACTCTAATCTTGATTCTAATCTGAATAATTGTAAAAACTCAAACATACATTATTATTAATGCAATGTTAACAATCTATATATACATACATTCATGCACTTCTACAGCAGTTCTCTTTATATATTTCAAAACAACAAATCACCAATTATCTTCTTATGTCCTCATTGTCCACCGAGGAATCTTGCAGTATTTCTTGCTTGATTACACTATGTGTTCTTCACATCTGCTCATACAGCAAAGTTTAAACATCAACTTCAGATTGCTTGTAAAATTGTGGAAAGCTCTTCTACGCTCAAACCAAGTTGTAAAAAGTACCAGCTGCGTCACTGACCGGCTGCTCATGAGGTCTCAGACTGTCCTATATTAAGAAGTGCGAGAAGAATCTGGCCTGATTTCAGCCTTGATTTGTTTAGTCTGGGACTAGAGTACATTTTAAACAACGTAAAGGAAGTGTTCTGAAAAATGCAAGAGATGAACATGTTTTTTAAAGATGGTATTTGCCTTAAGACTGAGAGTGCAGAGTGAAATACATTTGTGAATGCATACAATGTGAGAAATGCGGACATAAGTCGGACATAAGGGGAAGTCGTGGCCTAATGGTTAGAGAGTCGGACTCGTAACCCAAAGGTTGCGGGTTCGAGTCTCGTACCGACAGGGAGTGTAGGTGGGGGGAGTGAAGGTACAGCGCTCTCTTCCACCTTCAATACCACGACTGAGGTG